CCCGGGGGGGCGCGCGGGGGGGGGGGGAGACCCCCCCCCCCCGGCCCCCGCCGGGTCCGCCTGCCTCTCTTGCAACAGTAGAGCCATCTGCGCGAAGTGCTGTCTTGGTTTTGATGGGCAGCACGGCAAGTGTGAGAACGTACTGCCCGTCGCGCAGGCCTGGAGCTCGGTGCTGTTCGAGATTAGCAGCGCCGACCTCGGTAAGCTCGAGGCGGAACGTGTCGAGCAGCAGCAGCTCGTGAAGCAGTGCAAAGCGACGTTTTCAAAAATCCAAACCAAGCTGCGCGCGCTCGCGGCCGAGCTGGAGAAACAAGAGCGCGAGTGCGGCGACGCGCTGGCAGGCTTCTTCGCAAACTACTCGGAGACGTTTGCCGCACTGCGCGCAGAAATCGATGAACAGCTGCTGCGAGCCATCGCAGAGGACGAGAGCGTTGCGCAGTTCTTTGGCGTCGCCTACTCACTCGAGAAAGTAATTCGGCTGAGCGACGTCGACGCGCTGATGGATTACTACGAAAGTTGGACGCAAAAGTTCAAGCCGTTCCCGCCGGACCTGAACGCGCTTGGCGTGCAGCAGGCAGCGAACGAAGCGAAGCTTGAGACGGCCAAGTTCGCCATGCGCTTTTTGCACGAAAAGCTCGCGTACTGCTACACCGAAGCGCTGCAAACGGCCAAGGCGCTGGGCAGCAGCGTGGACGACCGCAGCTTCCTGGTCTCGTTCAGACCAGTGCTTCCGCAGAACGTGCCGCCGCAGAATGGGCGCGACACGCCCGAGCGCAAGAGCGCCGCGATTCCGCACTTGCTGGACCCGTTGCAACTGCGCACCTTTCTACAAGTTGGCACGCGACACACGCAGGCCTCGCCCACGAGTCAGCACGAAGTCGAAAAAGCGGTCGAACGACTCAAAAAAAGCATCTTGCGCTTCGCTGACGAGCCAAGCAGCTTCGATTTTTCTGCAGACGAGTCCGCTGCGAGCCCCTAGTCCGGCTTGGGCTTTTCAGCGTCCAGCTCAACTCGCGGCTTTTTCGGCTTCGGCCGCACGACGCCGAGGTCCTGCACGTCCTCGCATTCTTTGGCAGTGTCGACGTGCTCGAAGACCGAGCAGTTCGCGGGCGACTCGCCTTGCACGTGCGCAATGGCGGCCGCGAACTCCGCTGCAATCGTTTCGCGCGACTTTTCAAACTCGTCCATTAGCTTGCGCAGCTCAGCGTGCAGCTCGGCGAACTCGCACTTGTCCTCCGCGCTAATCGCGTCACTCGCTGCGAAGGCAGTCAGGTGCACATCGAGCGCGGCGAACACGTTTGACGCCGCGCAAGAGCGCAGCGCGATCAAGCTCTGGAAAGCCGGTGTCAGCGCGCCAAGCACACGCCGCGGCGCGTGCGGGAACAGCAGCGCGAGCTTGTACGCTGTGAGATATTCGTCGACCGCGCGCTCAAATTCTTGGAAGTCGAGCAAATAGTCTGCAATTGCGAGGCGCGCGCCGTAGAGACCGTCCAGGCTTGGCAGCTGCGCCTCGTTTGCGGCGAACGACGGCGGTGACGAGAAATGCTGCGCAACCTCGCTCGAGAGCGACTCCGCATCGAATGCGAACTGCTGCAGAGCCGAGTCTACGTCAAGCCCAACAGCGACGCAGGCTTGCTGATAACAGAGCCGCGCGACCTCCAGCGCATTCCACGTCAGCGCCTTGTCCTGCTCGACGTCTTCCCCGGGCTGGTCCGCAGCGGGCTCAGCGCGCGCGACCGTCAAAAAATCGTCGGCCGTTTCGCAGTGGCGCAACAGCGCCTTGCCGTAGTCGAGCCAGTAGCGCCCCAGCTCGGGGTGGTACTCGACTTCGCTGCCGAGCTGCTTCTGCACCTGCTTGGTTCTAATTAGCGCGCGCGCGCACTTACTTAATTGCCAACGCGACAGAGAAGAAGTTGATGGCGTCATCGAATTCTTTCTGTTCGTAGCTTCTTTTGCCCTGCGCGTGGTACAGCATCGGATCCGCCGTGTCGAGGTCAACGTCGTCAAATTCGTCGCTGGACGCGTCGCTCACTGTGTCGCCGGCCGCGCTGCCTTCAGAACTAGAGGCAGAACCGGCGCTCGCGGCGTCGTCGCCGCCAGCCGCAGCCGAGCCGTCAATCGAGACCGCGGCGGGCGCGGCCTCTGCCGATTCGGCGTTCGCATTCGGCGCCTTTGTCAGATAGACCTTAGTCCTCGCCATGCTGCGTTTAATCTGCCGGCTAGAGAAATAAAAGCAGAATATTAAAGCTTAATTGGCAACCTTGTGCTGCGAGGATCGCCTGTGTGGCCATGCGGACTCTGTACTTGAGCAACTTGCCGACCAAAGGTTCGCTCGCAGTGCTGAAGCA